TTCTACTTGAGAACAGAAATCCAAGATAAGAACAGGAAAAAAAAACTTCTTCATGTTAATGTTAAAAACTATTGAAGACAACAATGAACTGTGAGGTACCTCATAAATCTTAGTCTTTAAGCCCAACACCACCCTTCAAGATAATTTCAACTAAGTAAGACCAGAACAACTATATAAAGCACTACCCTCAAGTTCTGTATCAGCCATGCGTCGTTGAAGAAGAAATCTTAGTCTTTAAGCTGAATAGCAGTTGCCCAACACCACCCTTCAAGATAATTTCAACTAAGACCAGAACAACTATATAAAGCACTACCCTCAAGTTCTGTATCAGCCATGCGTCGTTGAAGAAGGCCACCAGTAACAATGTCAGAGAATAATTAAACATCCAGCCACTTCCACAAGGACACATTAGCCCTGTCTGTTTCTGGCATCTAGCAAGGCAACCAAGATTGGGTCCATTCCTTAGTGTTATAATATAATTCTGTTACATCTGATCCGTGATGCTGCTCGCAAGACTGTTCTCAGAACTTGGAAGATATACTTTCTTTAAACACATTTCCCATAATTCCCCTGTGTATGCTTCTCCGGGAGGTCTGGGAGGTCTAGTCACAAGAAAAAATACACCTTTTCCAAGTTCAAAAATGTTTCCTAACATGGTACAATTCATTCTCCCCATTCATATATGGGTGTGACTTGACTTTGAGTAAATCAGCCCATTTGCCAAATGACAAGCATGCTCACCACATGGCCATGGTTAACAATTGCACAATATCCGGAGTCAAACTCTAACTGCCAAAACAGAGGTCCAGTAGTGTTTTCCTAAAAATCCTATCAGCAGCTGACCTCTGACATATATGGCAGGAACTCTGTAGTTTCCTATACAGTAGGACCCCCGTATTCACGGAATCAGTATCCACAGTTTCACTTAGCCACAGTCTGAAAATATTAAAAAATATTAAAAGAAAAAGATCCAGAAAAACCACCCCTGTCTTATTTATTAACATAATAGGCCACCAGATTAGGGTTGCCAGATATCCGGCAAAAGGAGGACATGTCCTCCTTTTCAGGATAATGTCCTCCGTCTGGCAGGCAAAACTAAAAAACTTTAAAATGTCCGGCTTTTGTATCTCCACCCCCACCCCCACCTCCTGCAGCCGAATAAGGCACCTCTCCCTGTTACTTTCTTGGTTGCAGCACAGCACCTGGTTCTTTCAGAGATCAAAGATAAGCCGCCTTGATTGTTTAGGGCTGCTACAGCCCTGGGCAGTCAATCTAGGGCTTGCGCGAGAGAGGGACGGGTGGCTGCATCAAGCTTGTTTATTGCTTCCTCCTGAGCTGAATAAGGCAAGAAGGAAGGTGTGAGAGAGGGACGGATGGAAATGGACATGAGAGGTGTGGAGTGAGTGCACTTGCTTGCCTGCTTTCCTCCACTGGAGGGGAGGCTGGTCTGGGGATTGGGGGGGGCTGTTCAGAGCCAGGGAAATAGGAGCCGATCCAGTTCCTCCTTCCTCCTAAAGCCGGGGAAGAGGAGGCACTTTTATATCCCCCTTCTGCCCTGACTCTCGGGCTTGTGCAGAGTGCATTTCCAGATCCAGGAGCCAGAAGCATGTGCAGAGTGACCCCCCCCCCATGCTAGTGGGAGCTGGAAATTCACACACACACACACAAACACAAGCGGATTTCTCTCAGCTTGAGAAATGGCAAAGGGTGGAGAAAATGGCTTTGTATGTGTGTGTGTGTGCGTGCGCGCGCAAATCCATTTTCTCCACCCTTTGCATTTCTCAAGCAGAGAGAAATCCACGCCTTCTGGGTTTTTTTCTGGTTTTTATAAAGTGTTTCAAATCTGTCACACAACTTTTAAAACTTTTTATTTCTCTTTATTATGCTTTTATTAATGTGATTTCTTAGTGTAGTTTGTTTTAGTAGCTTTTATATTTTGTTTGATTGTTGCTGATTATTTTGTTTTTTATGTTATTGTTTAATTCTGTTTTTGTAAACTGCCCAGAGTGGCCTTGGCAGCCAGATGGGTGGTATACAAATAAAAAAAATCAATAAATAAAACAGGCTATATAGATATTAGTTAGGCATCCTTCAGTCTTGAAAGACTATCGTAGCGTGCTCTGTATGGAGGGCTTGGAACAGCGCCTAGTGTGGCTGAGAAGGCCAATTCGAGAGTGACAGTCCCTTCCACACTGAAGACAAGTCCAGTCTTTCCCCTGTCCGGCTCCCTGGTTTTGCTGCTTTTGTGACTTCCTCTTTGCCTCGACCTGCTGGGCAAGGGTCTCTTCAAATTGGGAGAGGCCGTGATGCACCGCCTGCCTCCAGGCTGAACGCTCAGATATCAGGTTTTCTCATCTGTTGAGGTCTATTCCTAAGGCCTTCAGATCTCGCTTGCAGATGTCCTTGTATCGCAGTTGTGGTCTCCCTCTGGGGCGCTTTCCCTGCACTAATTCTCCATAGAGGAGATCCTTTGGAATCCGACCATCAGCCATTCTCACGACGTGCCCGAGCCAACGTAGATGTCGCTGTTTCAGTATATAGATATAGCATTCACTATTATCCAGTTTTCAGTGTCCATGGGGGGACATGAAACCAATCCCCAGCAGATATGTGGGTCCTACTATACTTTGTTCCTTGCAGTGGCTGGGAGATGCCCTGACAATTGGAGCAGTATTTGTATTCTGCTTAACAACTTAAAACAGCATTTAAAAGCAACAGGATGTTATCATTAGCAACCCATCTGGATTTGGGCTGCCAGATATCAAACTCATATTCAGATGATTAAGCATGATTTCATGTCTATTGTAATGCTTCTGGAATAACATAGTCAGGCTGTCTCAGCGTGGGCTGCAAGAATGCATGGGCCACTTCAAGGCTTAACTTCTGTAAACATTTACAAGATGTTTTGAGAAGGAAAGGATACCAACAGAGACTAAACTTTTAAGATTGAAGTGACATGGAGAATTCTGTGTAGCAGTCTTAGAGTCGTGGGTGTTGATCTTACTCTCAAGAAACATTTTTTTACACACGAACTCGTTACAAATAATATTTATCCATGTTTAGTGGAGCAGCTATAAGAAATGGTTCACTCTCCCTTGACAAAGACTCAAAATGGAGATTCAAGCTGGCAAAACTGTTGGAGATCATCTAGACATTGGGAATAGAGAAATGACACCTCGGATTAACCTTTGAGAAACAGAAAAACAGGTAGAAGGGCTGGGCTACATCCAGTATCTATGGATTTCATGCCTATCCCTATTTTTACTTAGTTGTAGTGTATAAGAATCACTTTAATATTGTCACGTTTAAATTGCATTGTAAAATATATATATATTTAAAAGTGGATTTATTCATGGCAGATATTACTACTAGACAGCCATTGCCATGAATCTCTGATTTCTAGCCAATATTTCTGCCTCCACACAAGATAGCCTTTTGTAGGAGAGGCAAAGGTAGCAGCACTGGAGTTAATGCACAGAAAAGGTCAAGAGAAGTGTAATTTCACTTTCACCTTGCTGCAGAGGGAAAGCTGCAGCAAAAGCTGCCCCATTTATTGGCTATATTATATATAAACACGCAGTTCATATCTCCAGCCGCCACCTCAGCAGCTGTCCAGCCAGAACAGTTGTCATCACCTACCCACCTAATCAAGTGGTGGATTATCTTGTCTTGATAAATTGGCACCAACGTCCACTAGGGGAAGAAAGAGAGGAGGAAAGGGAGAAATAAGTCTGACATCAAATACTTGGCTAGCCTGTAGCTAATAGGGTAGCAGATGTCTGGATCAAGCCCATGAGCTTGCAGTGCACAGCACAACTGAATGATTTGTGTTGAACTGTGTAAATGTCTTTAAAGAAAGACATCACTAAACAGGCACACAGTTAAACATGATATATTGGAGGCCAAGGGGACAAGGAGGAATCAAGACACTGTAATGGGTATTGTTTTAGAGAGGAATGCACAGACTATGTGGCTGATTTGAACTCATTTGCCCTGGAAGGAACCATTTTTATGAACTGTACTCTATGTTGGCATTTTCGAAGAAGAAGACGAGGAAGGGAGGACTGTACTGCTAAGCACTTTCTAAAAAAGAATTAGAAGCTGTCAAGCCATTACATGCTGGCTCATTGTTCTTAGGGTTTTCAGAGCTGATTACTGGCAATTTATTTAGGGTAAATAAACTATTTTCTTCCTCTTAAAACCCACAGAGACAAACATTAACATCTGCTAAGCATACAAACTGTGTGGGGTTTTATTTAATCAAAAGACGAAGCAAGAGAATTCTTGTTCTAATAAACAAATCAAGCCATTCATTTCAGGATTCCACTCCAAAACAATAGGAAGGGAGCTGCATAAACTATTCACAAGATACAGTGTAAATTAACAGGTATAATGCTAGGAGTGTCATGAAAAATAGATTTTGAATATCAAAGGCCAACATAATTTTAATATTTTTTTTAATTGAGCGGCTTTCGAATCAGCTTTCAATAAAGATTTTGTTTTGAATTATTTGTGTTACATTGTTAGCCACTTTGAATTCTTTTTCCAGGTGTACAGAAAAGCAGGGTCCAGATTCAGTAAATAATCATCCAGTATCTATTCCCTTGGTACAGGTGCCACTGTCTAAGCAAAGCAAAGCCTATCTTGCCAGTTGAGGTCAGTGGTCTGAAATTCAGATGACTTGCACCCTTGATTTCTTACTGTCAGTGATAGAGTAGCCTCATAATTTTTTAATGATAAAGAAAAAAATTATCTTCTGTTGCCTAACCAATAAAAATGAGCAAGCAAGTTGCAGATTTGCACAGACACTGCATTTGTTAAGTTTTACATATTTGTAGGTGCAGATATCATTACAGTACTTCAAATAGAACTATGTTGTGTCTTTGTGGTGGAACCTGTGAAGAGATAATGTGTATGTTTGCCATCTAGCTTGATGGACATGTACAAATTAACATAGGTGCTATATTTCTAATTCCTGTCTCTCCCCCCCTTCTTTCTAGGGGAATCCCTACATGTGCAATGAGTGTGATTCAGCTATAGATGAGTTGGCGCATCCACCGGAACTGATGTTTGATGCTGAAGGAAGACATCCCTCAACGTTTTGGCAGTCTACCACTTGGAAGGAATACCCAAAGCCTCTCCAGGTGAACATCACCCTTTACTGGAACAAAACTATTGAACTAACGGACAACATCGTCATCACGTTTGAATCTGGCCGTCCAGATCTAATGATCCTGGAGAAGTCCCTGGACTATGGTCGGACGTGGCAGCCCTACCAGTATTACGCTACAGACTGTTTAAATGCTTTCAACATGGAACCAAAAACAGTGAGGGACTTAACCCAACAAACTGTCCTAGAAATCATTTGCACAGAAGAATATTCAACGGGGTACATGGCAAACAGTAAAATCCTTCACTTTGAGATCAAGGATAGATTTGCACTTTTTGCAGGGGCTCGGCTTCACAATATGGCTTCTCTGTATGGGCAGCTCGACACAACCAAGAACCTAAGAGACTTCTTTACTGTCACAGACTTGAGAATAAGACTGCTCAGGCCAGCAACAGGGGAAATATATGTGGATCCACAACACCTGACACGCTTCTTTTATGCAATCTCAGACATAAGAGTAGTTGGAAGGTAAGAGAAAATCAGAAACTATGTATACATACATATGCTTTTTAAGGTGTGATTTTAGCCTTCTATCTTTTCTTCCTACAGCATGACAGTGCCATTGTTGTTTGAAACATTGACCAGTTTATGACCTTTTGCAGATACTCATAGATGCAGGTGTGATAACTTAAATCTAGCCAAAGTCTGAATCTGAGTTTAGGCTGGAGTTAGGGAGATTTCTTTTTCCAGCTGTTCATGAACCGTTACATCCACCCGTGGTTTGGTAAGCTAGTGCTGGTAGAAATTGGAGGGTCACAGGTTCCAGACTTATGGTATTATGTTAATATCCACGGAAATTAATGTGGCAAGCAGCTATTTTCATTTACTACTGATTTATTGTCAAATTTGTTAATGTTGAATTGTTTTCACCTTAACAGATTCCATCCACCCAAACACACCCTATTTGAGAAGCCAGCCCAAAAAGCAAATTGTTTCCTCTAGCAATTGAGTGAAGCTGGGGATTTGTTCTATTCAATGCCAGTCATGGAAAAATGCTTCTTCTAAAAATATAGTAGGCTGTTGTTGTTGCTGCTGGTGTTTTCTGTAGATAGTTGATAGGTGGAGTTGTTTTATCTATGCATAGAAGAGAAGCATAGAACCTCCCCAAAGCAGTAAGTGAAAAACAGAGAGCATATCAAGATGGTCCCCAAATGATACGTTTTTCTGGAAGGGAGGAGACATGGTGTTATTTGGAGGCAAGGTGAAGTCGCCCCGGTGGCTCCTTTGAGGCAACAGTAAGAGAGTAACTTAGGCTGCTTATGCAATTTCATTTCAATGAGATTTGTACAGGAGATTTACATTACATCATTACTGGAACACAGTACCATTTGACTTTTCTGAGTTCAATTTTGGGCTGCTCTCTTGGTTTAAGCGTAACTTGGCTGATTATGGCTATGTTTGATGCCAGCATGTTTTATTGGTGCACAGTGGGAGTTCACTTTGAAAAGAGTTTTTGAAATAGGCTGTCTTGATATGGTGATACACCTTGCCAAGGAATTTAAAGATATTCATGGATGTAGGTGTTTAAAACTTAAATTTAGCCAAAGTTTAATGCCGGCCACAGAGACTGGCGAAACGTTAGGAAGAACAACCTTCAAAACACGGCCAAAGAGCTCAAAAAACCCACAACAACCAATTTAAAGAGTCCTTGCCAAGGACTTTTACCCATGTGCTTGGGGTGGAAATCACGTGGTAGAGCTTCCACCAGGAAGCCTCAGGGGGACAAAGTCCATCCTCTCTGAGCCCTTATGAAATGCCCCATGAGAACACAAGCAAAATACACTGAGTCCCAGAAGCCCAGAGTATCCCCTCTGTGTCCCCTCATTTCATGAATTACAAGTCCCTGTGCGATGAATTCCAACCCTGTGTGGTAGTAGAAAACCAGAGCAGGCACAGCCAATTCTAGCCTGAGGAACTGAATTTGGAACTGAGCTTCCGAACCACCAATCAAGAAACACACCAGATGGAGATTTTAACCTTTATTTAAGGAATAAGACAAGTCTCAAATTCAAATAGAGAAAAAAAATAGTTTCAAATCAGTGCCAATACAGTTGAAAGAGAATAGGTACAACTGAGGACCTAATTAGTGGGGTTTTTTTTCTACTAGTGTAGAGTTGCAGCCTTGTTCTACTGAATCTCTAGATAATAGGTACCCCTGAACCTTGTTGTACAGATTCTCATATGACCATCTTTAGCCAATCACAGTAAATCCTCTGCCAAAATTGCTAGAACACATCCTTCCTCACATGCCTGTTTAAATCAGGGTGCAGTTAGGACAATTTACAACTTAACCTTGAAATGAAACTTTGCCTGTGAGTTTCTGTGTATCTGTGCCCAGTCCAGATGGTATCCTATCTATCACCTCTCTCATCATTTTAACTCACTTCTCCCACCAGCTTTCTGATACCAGAATTTGTCTGTTCTTCTTCATTAATTACCCTTTTGGTGTTATTCAGGGCTTTTCCCTGGATTCCTTCACAGACCTCGTTTCCAGCAAAGAGCAAGACAGAGACATCTTAGACATATATATCTATATCTATATCTATATCTATATCTATATCTATATCTATATCTATATCTATAGATAGATAGATAGATAGATAGATAGATAGATAGATAGATAGATAGATAGATAGATAGATAGATAGATAGATAGATAGATAGATAGATAGATAGATATAAGCACAGAAGGGCCATCTGTTTCTTTAAAAAGACTCAGACAACCCATCCAGTGCTTCATATTCTTAAGCGAAGACATGGTAATTTTTCGTTTTCACATTTCTTAATCATTTGCTCAAATTGTCCAGATTTGTTCCTTGTATTTGTACAGTTTTGTGCAAAATATTGCTCTTGCCAATATGAGAACTCTACTTCAGAAAAATCCTCACCTTTGTCATTAATGAGGTAAATAATGTAGCAGTCCATTGTCCTTGCCTGCAAGACAAGAGAGGGTTTACAGAGCTACAAAATTAGCTTTTATTACCCAATGCATGAGAAGGCAACTCTATCCTTGTCCACACTGTGAAGTATTAATGTGTTGGCTAAGCAGTCAGATTCCACTCTTCTGCTACTATCCTAGGTCGTCTGCCCACCACCAACCAGTGTAGTTTCAGGAGCTATTTGTACAGATCCTCTTGCTGGATGCTGGGTTGCTTCTTTCTGGGATGTATACCAACCTCCCTTCTGAAACCATGATGCCATCTATAATTGCTTCTCCTTTAAAATGTAAAGGGCGGGATCTCAATCACTGACCAGCTTAAGGAAAGGCTTGTGTGCATTATTAATAGCTGATTATATAGAAACAAATGAAAAGGATGGGGGGAAACCCTCACCGTGCTCAAAGAATGCAGATTGTCTAGTAAGTGTTGGTATCAGCAATCAATAATTGATTTTATGGTTCTGTTGCATTCTCTTGACAGTTTAGCCTTAATACGTGTCTTTATATAGCCTCAGGGCTCACTCCTAACATTGGTGCTTCTCTAACAGACACTATTGGGGGGGGGCTGTCCTCACCAACACAGTGAAAGTAAAGGGAAGGACAAGATGGTGCTCCTTTTCTGGTTTTTATGCAGAAGCTGCATGGGCAAGTATTTGAAACTTTCTTCAGACTCAGTAACTGGATGGTGTTTCTCTCCACACCTAAAGCAACAGTCTAGTTTATTAGAACCAGGACAGCTGGGAAGTTATCCTCCAGTATTGGCTGACCTGAGCACTTATCTCAATCTCAACCCTGAATTTGCATCCCATCAGAACCCTGGGCATTGATGTAACTCTACATACCCTCAGGATGGATTTTATAGAAAAGAGACATGAGAATAACTGCCTGAGATAAACTGAGCCAACATTTAAAAGAATTGCAGGAATAAATAACCGAAAGAAATGAAGATGTTCTTTAATGTTCTTCTAAGTATGGGGGGGGAGACACTTAATGTTTACATGTTAACCATGTATTCTAGATATATTTGTTTTCCCCACTTATCTGTTTACCAGAGAAACATAAGACAGAAATGAGTTAGGTCTAAAGCTATCAACACTGTTTCCCAATGAAATTGTGTTCTTAATAAGAAGAAATAATTCAGATTGGAAGGAAAATAGCTTGTGCCATTGTTAGCATTCTTCATGCCTTTTCTTTAACACACATTAGCAGCTAATAATTTAAAATGTCTAAACAGTAGTAAAATGCGACTGGATTTATAATTGTTATTTAAATGAATAACTATTATCTGCCTTTTGAATGTTAATGTTGTTTAGAGATCTCCTTTATAGCTGGCAGGGCAACAGTGCATTTTCCTCTCCCTTTCTATTTGTTCCTGTCCAACTGGGGAAATCTAACAATATATGTTAAAGCATGTATTCTGATTTCTGCCCTCCAGAAGTATTATTAAAGAGGCAGGAAAATGGATGCTTTACAGAGTTCAGAGCCATTCCTGGAGGTACACTTCAAGCCGCCACCACCCTATGTTTAAGTTCCAAACTTCCCATTTTAACATTTTTTTAAAGTTTCAGTTAACAATGAGAATTTTACCCTTTAATAATCCAGATACAGCACATATACATAGAGCAGGTGCGTACTTCTGAGAAATAACAATTGTTTAAGCTGTTTCTCTGCAGTTTTCAAATGTCCCAGCTCTTAAATCCAAAGAGAGTTTGTTTTCCCTGCTGAGTATGCTGTTTCCTAATGATGATTAGGAAAATGAGAGGTGGGGGAGGGGAGAGAGACTGTTGCAAACATTTTTTTTCCAAATCCAGCTGGCTTCAAAAGGGAGGAAAAAAACCCTCACAATAATCCTGTAGCAAATTGGCTCTAAAAATTAAATGTGACAGCACAGGGAATTTATCTGATGGTGTTGCTTGTTGGCCAAACCTTCTGGTAATCGGACACACATACTACAAAGGGGTTATCTGCCATGTAATCCTATCCTAGTAGATTAAATTCACAGGAGTTCCTTTCTTTCTCCACTTGGCTGGTGCTGATAAAACACCTCTTGTAAGGTTATTTTTTCCCCTTTACAACTCATATGGATCCTTACCTCCCATTCACTGATAAGAGCTTAATATATTCTTCCACAAGTAGGCAATGAATGTCTTTTACTCCTAGCTCCTCTCACTGCTTTAAAGAAGAGCAGGCTGTCATACCTCTACCATTCCTCACAAGGGGTGACAGGCTTTATATTCCTGCCCAATATCTGCTCTGAAGATCTGGAGTTTCCCCGCTCCTTTTAGTCAGCTGCCCAATCACTATGTCTGGTCCTCCTGGATTTGTTTACCCAATCAGAACAATATCAGTAAAAGGCTGTGTGGTCCCTCCAAAAAAGTGTAGATACAAATGCAGAAGCAGGCAATACCTTTATTGGACCACTGAAAAAGTTAAGATAACTAGGTCTTTGTTTGAAGAGATGCTCCAAGATGCTGCTTGGGGAGGTTTCCAACCCCTGAACCCCCAAAGCCTGAGGAAGATGGATTACCAT